GGATGAGAGGAGAAAAATTACTGTATAAACGGAAATAAAGACGCGTTACCCATGGATCTGTCTTCTAGCCTCACCTAGCCCTCAGGTCATTTCCCTACTAATGCAGATGGGTTATTGCCTATGATTCCTCTGTTTGACAAAAGCTGCCCAAATAGAGAGAATGTTCAAGGAAAACTGTAGGATCCCCACATCCACGCCATACAGTTCACAAATAAACCCTCGCTTTGCAAAGGGCCTCATTATATGGCTTTAGCAGTTTTTGTATTAGGTCGAGCTGAAACCCACCGCTGAACCAACTTCAGGCTCCATCCATTACCCCTAACGTCCCGGCAGAATGAAGAGCTTTCAAGTTGCCACTTTTTCCCATAGACCTAAAAACTCTTCGTTCTTGTATGTAAGCATCGACATTGCGATTTTGAACTCGGGATATTATTTATTATTTTTAGCTCCACGTCGGTCAATTGATCCGAGCTGTAAATGGCGAGCAGCTGGCGGCTGATTGTCTCATTCTCGCAACTTCTGAACCCGGTTCTGTGGCTTATGTTGAGACAGCGAAATCTTGATGGAGAAAGCAATCTCAAGGTTAGAGTTCAAAAGTATTTGGAAACACGCTCAGCTCTTAATACGTAACATGCAAAGCAATCCAAAATTCGGACCTGGTGCTGTGCCCGCTACCGTACAGCGAATGCACCTATCTGAACGCGTAGTGCGTGGGCAAGGACGCCAGAGGCTTACAGCCGTAAGCGTTTCAAGCAATCGTGCACACCCCTGTTGCGGTATCTGTCTCGCTCTTCTATTATGGTCTTTCTTCTCCAAGTCTGCCCTCTCCCAGGCCTAGTTCCCCTTGCACTGTCTGGTGGCCCTTTTGCTTTGAAACTTTGATTTTATACCAACTTCCATGGTGCAAAGGGTAACACCTACGTGATCGCAGAATGTGTCTTCAAAATCGAGGGCTAGGGGGGATATTAATCGGTGTGAGAGATGTAGCGACGTTTGGTGAACATCAATGGACGATTCCGCGACCTTTTCGCCTGTGGAATCCTCCTTTAATATACATCAAAAAAGGGGAACCTACCTACGGGAATACAGGTGGTCCCCGTAAGGGTGCTTCACAGCGAAGGACTTGCCCGGCGATCTATATGGGTCGCTGCACCACTATCGTCGCTGCACGCCTACCACTTCGTACACCGATTCTAGCCGCCTAGCAGAGACAGCGCTAGCGTTGATAAGGTCAGTAACGATGAGACACGCCTAATGCGCAAACCAACGGGCAAATGATGTTCCCATTCTCAGATTCTAGATTGTTTTTCTTGTTTTTTCTTCATCTCTACTTAACTGGCCACGTCTACTATGACTCCTGGCGGGCTGCCTCTTCATCGTTAATCAGCTTTAAATTTAGGTCAGGGCAAGCTTGCTCCAACACGTCTCAGTAACTGCGAACGGAGCATGAACGTTAGTTTGCGAGGCGGAATTGTGTCAGGCAATTGTTTAAACTTCCTTTTATAGGAGTTTTGGCTGAGTGGTGCCGAAATCATTTATGACGTTCCAAATGGAAACATTTACGAATTCCAAGGTCAAATGGTCGGAACATCACATCTTCTACAAACATCAATAGAGAAAGTGCTAGTATCATCCGGAGACAGGGTACATTTCAGAGAACTTCAGATGAACATGCGGTAAAGAACAGTCCCGCAGGGTTCTTTACTTCGGATAGTAATGTGTGGAAACGATGCCTAGTCCAAAGTCAAAGAACAGGAGTGTCACTGAACAAAAAACTTACCTTGGAAAGCCGCCCGAAAAGGAGTTGAACACCTTTGAAGTGGGCGTAGTACTATACTCGATGCATTTAAGCGGTAATGGCGTCAGTGAAGACCTCAGTCAGATAGTACTGTTCTCTAAATAGGTTGATAAAGGTTCAGCGGACGGACTTAAAGCAACCGCTCCAGCGTAAGTCGTGTCGAAGAACCTTTCCATTGGATGGGAAGAGTAGCTCACGAGTATCACGGATGTGCTGTTTGGGGACTCGAAAGTGGCAACAATGGGAGCAGGCGTTTACAAAGTGATAAGGGGAAGCTTACTCTTAACGCATGACGAGTTAAGTCAACACCCCATTGACGCACAACCCCTACGCGTAGCGGCAGATTCATATACACGCGGGTTATTGAGCCGTGAAGCAGGCATTTTGTAACAGTTCATATCGCCCCCCACCCTTCTTTTCGAGGGTAATCTTTGTTTAGGGCTTTATGGACGGTTTTCCTTGCATCCCTTTTTCCATTTTTAGTCGCTCGGCATCACAAATCTCGACGCTGTCACCACACATTTGATCTGGGGGTGTTGCTTCAAAAGCAGGGTACCCGACAGGAGGCCCGTCGCGCGGCAAGAAGGCAGAGTCAGCGGACGAGTCGCAGCGCGTGCTGTGCGATGTAGGACGTACAGTGGACATTCTATTTAACTTGACGCGAAATCATTACAGTACGCGCTGCAACTCGTCCGCTGACTCGCCTTCTTGCCGCGCGACGGGCCTCCTGTCGGGTACCAGAACACCATGGCAACAATACAACCGAGTGGGTCGGGTGAGATCGTAGATATATTTGAATTTGGTCGCACGTGCCGATGATTCTTGCTGGGTTTATCTGCTATTTCCAAGCTTCTGAGGTTTGCCCGTAGACTATTCGATATTGACCATGCAGTGCAGGTGATCATACAGGGACAGTAATAGTCCGTCTTTTAAGGAGAATTCACACCGGCTAGACGTATTTCCACAAAATCTACGATTCCACTAAGTGAGTTAGTTAAGTACCTCATGACAGATACGTTCACCTCAATTATAGATCACTAAAGAGTTGTCCTTTTAGCGAACGCGCATGTCATTCTCAGAGGTGCCCGACTGAAGAATACGGACAACATCTATGGCATCGTGCTCTACACAGGACAAGACACCAAGCTCTTCATGAGCAGTATCAAACGTGTTATGAAATGGTCTGTGGATGTCCTTTTTACCGTTCGTGTGAACAGTGAATGTAGCGTAACAATACAATAGTTGAAAAGGAATGCTCAGAAAAGGTCCAACAGTTCCATAGGTGGACACACCGTCCCCTGTCCTAGCTGCTCCCTCGAACCCCATCCCATGGCTCGCTCATGTTGCCGTCCCTCCGAGCTCGATGTCAGCGTCGTCTCTAAAACACAGTGCGTCGAGAGCTGTCGGGTACCCGACAGGAGACTCGTCACGCGGCGAGAAGGCAGAGGCGCAGGCGAGTCAGTGGACGAGTCGCAGCGCGTACTGCAGTGATTTCGCGTCAAGTTGATAGAATGTGCTATAGTACGTCCCACATCACACAGCACGCGCTGCGACTCGTCCGCTGACCGTCTGCGTCTCTGCCTTCTCGCCGCGCGACGGGCCTCCTGTCGGGTGTCCAAAGCTGTTCAAGGGATCGATAACTATAGAAGTAACTCACAAATTACTTCTCCCTCTTACAGACCGAATCAATGGAATTGTTGAGAATGCACCCTATGAGATTTTTTCAGCTCACAACTCTCAACTCTTCTGAACTACGTGATGCTTACTCAGTTTGGAATTGTGATGCTGCTTGTTCTTGGACACTCGATCATGAGCCGTCTCTATCAACCGATCCCCTTTCTCGTATCGCAATTCACCAATCATTTTGATGGTGAGCAAGTTCGACTCTGCTGCTTTGTATATCAAACTATCTATAACTATCAGATCGACTCGAAACAAAAAGCAAATTCTGAAAAAGGGGAATATTTTTGGCATGTGGACCAAGTTTTTTGTGGTTTGCGCCAAAAATCCCATCATGAACCGCTGTCATTTTCGAATGGCCATGTTCTACAAAGTTTTTGTGTGCCAGAAACATGTACCGAAGATTGTTCTCACCGAGAGGGAAATCTGGCTTTAATCGAAGGCAAGGTCGGATCGTTATGGTGGTAATCCGCACTCGAAGACAGGACAAGCAGCTGCAACATTTCGACAGCGGATAAAGATTTAAAGTGAGTGGGCAGGAACGTTCGACGGCAATCGTCGGACCACATCGTAGGTGCCTTGAGTAGGTGTCTCGAGGTACTTGGAAGCTGCCGCGACTCTGCAGTTGCGACCTACCACTGCCCACCTACTAAAGGCATCTCTTCGATGAGGCTGCGCCTGAACCTGCCGTCAAGTGACCTTAAGAAGATGTAAGGCTTGTTGACTGGGGCGAGGTTCGAGCCCAACAATTAACACGTTGATCATAGCGCGTGGTATGTCTGCGCCGTCACTGCTGACACCCATTCTGTGCCGCAATTCCCCAATCCGCGGCCAAATTAGCATTTGAAGCCCTCTACAGCGATGAGCATTCTTTCGACCGTAGCGACAGGTTAAGTTTGCAAAACTCATCGTTAGCAAAGGATAGTGGACGCAAAAATTCGGTGAAAAGCCATAAATGGCTATGCGGTTGTAAAACCAAAGCAGTTCGTGAAGAACTCAATTTTCCAGACTCTCTCATGTCCATCTTTCTACAACATCTCGTGCTATATCAGGCGGTTATGTCCTATTTCTTTGTATGTCACACTTGAAGATGGTTCCAAATCGTACAAGGAAGTTTATAGCCATGTATGGCATGAATAAGCAATACATAAAATCGGATTATACCGTTTATCGTGCTGCTCATGATATTTAGGACGAAATGATGTTTGACGAACATGGGCGTGGTCCTGACGTGAAGATGTTTTCTTTGAATTCGGAACTCGGGGATGTGAGTGTTGTTCGCTCAATAAGCACACATTTGCTGCGGTGCGTGACAGGCGCCATGGGCATTGGTAAATGGACCTGGGCAAGTTATCGACCTGGGTGAGGCTATGCCGAGGATTCTTTTGATTTGGTGATTAGTTTTAAATGCCATGAGAAGGAGAGGGACAGGGTAGACGCCGTATTCCAGGTTAACGACCTCCCTGTTAGGCAGGGGGTTGATAACGATTTAAGATCACTCAACTATCAGCCTTAGAAGAGTCTCCCCAGTATGATTCTCATCTCACCATCATGACCACTCACCCACACTTTCATGGCCTCGTTACATATATGATACTCCTGCTTGCAAAACCAGATGCATGCCGAGTACAGACCACACACCACAAATGACGACAGCCCCCACAAAACGTGAATGTTTTCTGCCAATGAAATGGTTGACCGGTTCCAGTTGTTCTGTCAGTTGTTGCTGATTACGACTATCACTTACCAATTATCTAACTTATCCCTATGAACACCTGGTAAAGATATTACTTGGAGGCCGTCGGTCACTTTTGTTGTGTGGGGTTCACTCGGATGTGCAAGGTGACCCGGCGAAGAAGAACGGGTACTTCAATACTGGGCCGCGTTGACGCGCACATCCAACACATGAGCGGACCAGCCAATAATCTCGCTTTCCAATAATAGGCTCATTTCTAGGTGAAGTACGTAATGTCGGACAAGACGGGTACGTTGACGCAGAACTGCATGCGGTTTCGCATGTGTTCAGTGGGTGGTGTGAAGTATGCGAATCGAAGGACAAGGAGAGACAAGACATTCTCACCAAAGAAACTCGTGTCACACATCGCCAGCAATCAGATGGTGGGTGCCTCGTAATTGACAGGTCGACTAGAATCGGTCACCTTCTGATTCGCGACACGAGAAGAGCCTCGGAGTGCAGACGGCACACACAGCCTGGCCCCAAGTGACGATGGCCAAAAGCCCCGTTTTTCTTGATCATCGTCACTCGTCAGTTGTGGTGTGTAGTCTGCACTCGAAACTTTTCGTTTCCCGAAATAGTGGGTGGACTCATGATAGTGGTTTTTTGCAGAATAATGCGCACCAAATCCGAGAATTCCTTCTGCCATGCGCCATTTGTCACACGGCATCTCCAGACAAGAACACGTCCACTGCCGATCGTCCCCTTTACCATGCCACATCCCCTGGTAGGTTATTTATCAGACCGTAATCAAGTGAGTGAAAAGTTCCAAAGTTCTAAGAGGATCTAAGAAACTCTGTACGCCAGTTACTGAGATTGGAGACACCTGCTTTCCTTCGCCTTATGAGCCTAGCCTTTGAGCAGGCAGAGCATTAGTGTTAAAGAGTTCAGCACCGATGAGAGTCGCATCAATGCAGAAAACATCAGGGAAGGACGTATTTTTCCTGGTTTCCAGTAACCCGTTTTTTTTCATCCATGCACGATGACCTCTGCCTTGATTTCTGCTACGCTGTTTTTCATCGCAAACTCCGCTTTCAAAGGCAAACGTCGGGCTAAAACTGGTGTGGGAGAGTGCTTCATATTGATGGTATAGCTGCGAAGTGAGCTGAAAGTGGAAAGGAAAGCAAGAACATGCTAAAGTTATTCAAAAGCCTAAAGTTCCCGTGAAGTCGGATATTGTGATGGAGAGGCAGAACGGCCAGAAAATATGTACAAAACGAAAATTCCTTTTGTTCAGTTCCACCCTTCCGGCATTTAACCCTCCCCCCACCCACATCCATCGTTGGTTTTGCAAGTTTTTTTATCTCTAGGCTATCCAGAAAACGATACAGAAGTCGCATCAACTCAGGGCACTTTGCCTCTTGCCTTCTCCTACCTCATACCTTTATTTCTAGGTCTTTTGGCCAGAGCCATCTTCGAAATCGGTTTACAAGGCATGCGCCCGCCCATCTCGGTGTACGTCCCACCCATCGGCGGAGTTAGGTTTTTTCCTTTCCAGCCTCTATCCCCTTTTCCCGGGTTGCACACCGTCTTGGGCAAAGCAGAATTTTTGCCGTCGACACCGCGAATTGGTGCGCATACGCAGAGAGAGTGGGGCCGCTTAGCTGAAGTGTGTTCGTACGTCTTAGCCCATGCCACACTAGTTCCAAACTTGATCTGGCCTCTCCATGTGTTTCTCAGGTAATGGCAAATCTCGCTGAAGCCCTTTTATATATACTACGCCCTTTTTGGGCTTTAATGTCGTTTGGACGTATGAAAATAAACAAATAAATAAAGACAAATAGTCAAACCGACAATTAGACCAGACGCTTCATAGTAGTAGTAACAGCTTGAAGAGATGTGCGAAAATGGGAAACCGAGGGCCAATAAAGAAGCACTTGCTAAAATCTTTCCGTTCCAGATGAACATGCTCTTCTTAACTTCGCTGCTGATGCCGGTTTCGTCTTTAAAAGACGCACACCGGGGAAATGCTTCATTAATGCGGTAAGAAGACTTTAACAAAATGGGTAATCTGTTCTGCGAAGCGTGTTACAGCTGGGAACCGCCCTGGAGTACGATTTGGTGGCGATTCTCGAGTTCGATTCGAGCGGAAACGAATGTCCGTCATCGTGAGGGAACCCGGTGGCAAATTTAAGCTCTACATTAAAGGAGCTGTAAGTCTATAGCCACTTCTGAAATGCAAGCATTCGTCGATAAAGGGGACCTAAAATTTCTTCTTCAGGACCAAAAAATTTTCGAGCGACTCAAAAGCGTTTCTCAGAAGGAACTGAAACGAACGGCCGGTCATTTACAGCAGTTCGCAATTGGAGGTGAGAGTTAAATGGCTGAAGTGATCTGCGACTGTCCAGACGGGAAAGAATTCAGGCTATCGGACTCTCTGTTTTGCTGTGAGGACCATTGACGTCGCAACTTTCAACGGATGGTACAAGGAATATCTTAAAACTATTAACGATCCAACTAAACGGAAGAGTCGATTAGCAGAACTTGCAGAAGCCATCGAAAAAGTTTGTTGACTAACTAATCACCCACTTTAAACCCTAATGGTAAAGGACCTACTCGTGATGACCGAATGTTATCGGTACCTTTTGAACTTTAAGGCTAGACCCAGAAATGTAGGTAATTCTGAGACGTTTTCAAAAGAGCCCCGCCTACCATCCACCATACTCGCTGCCTTTACAAGCAAATTGGTCTAAAGCTGCCACGAGCAATGTTGGTGGTTACGTTCGAAGGCAGCGATTACGATAGGTCCTGGAGGGGTTTACAGGAGATGTTGGGATGCTCAAGCCGAAAGCACGAAAAGGGGACCCCTCGCTTGGCCGTTGATCTTCGCTCAAGGACGGGCAGCGGCTAGAGGGCGGACGTATGGAACGAGTTACCGCAACGCGTTTGGTGGCACCATGCCAATCCATGCTCCAGTCGAGTTGCTCCAGTTGTGCCGCTGCTGGCAACACAACTCGTCCAAATCACTAAGTAAAAGGGCGGGCCGCTTTTGTGGTGAGGCGGAAACAGGAATAGAGTAGCTAAGATGATGGCTCCATCAATCGCCAAATTCATAACAGCACTCGTTAAGGAGCTCGTGTTGATTGGAGTGTCTGCAATCGAGGATCGACTTCAAAAATACGTACCAGAAACGGTGGGACGACTTGTTGCTGCTGGAATACGTGTCTGGGTACTCACAGGCGACAAACTGGAAACCGCCGTGAACATAGGTTTGGTACTTGTGCACACATTACAATCGCCATTTCTCGGAAGGATAAAGGAATACATGTATCTCACAATGGCTGGATAGAGCTGATTCCATATCAGTAATTGGCTAGCAAATTTGCCACTTTGAAATCTCAAACCACCCGATCAGCTGGTGTTTAGTAGTTGAGCATGAAGCCCATATTCGCTTCGCTTCCGTAAACTGTGTGGGCGTCAGCACAGACCACACACCACAAATGACGACGGCCTCAAGTAAAATCTGGTAACTAGTGGTTCATAGTGATAGCTGATTGTAAATGATAGTTGTAATTAGTGACAGATAGAATACAACTGCAACAGGCTAATCATTTCATTGGCAGAAAACATTTACATTTTGTGGAGGCCGTCGTCACTTGTGGTGTGTGGTCTGCACTCGACGCGCTTCTGGTTTTTGAAACAGAGGGTACGTCTTTTTGATTCCAGGAAATTCTTGTCACCTTCTCTCTGCGAAAGCGCCGATGATGGTTCTCTCATCGAGTACTGCTCAACGCGCAAAAGAAGATTTGGGTAAGTAAATTAGTCGATGATTGAAGTTGTGGGACCAATTTGGACCATCGTGTTGAATTCGATAAACTTCTCGAAAATGTTACTATTTTAAAAATTAACAAGAATCTACCATAAGTACGCTACCGACGGGCTACCGTAACCGTGGCGCCGTCAACATGCGAATTCGCTGCAACCACACGGTCACTTAGGCTCCTGAGAAAAGAAGACATTCGGTGCCGATTACGAAATCCGATGCGGCGACGTCGAGCTCAGTTTTAAGTATGTGGTCGCATTTTATTTGACTTCACCAGGGTTACGGTAGTCCGTGGGTTGCTTACTGATATCAGATTCTTGTGGAACATGAGGGGTGCAAAAAGGAACTGTCGTGGTCCGCCCACATTCGATATCTTGTCTGCGTCGCAATGTTGATCTGCTATGCTCTCTCTCGGACTTCTCTACCGCTCTCCGCGCTCACATTATCTCTCATCTCCCTGCCTGCCTTTTGAACTTCTCCGCAGCGTAGAGCAAAAGGCTCGTATTTCCTGTGTATTTCACAATTTTCTTCCCTTTTTCCTCCACTTGCAGTCCACTTCCCATCCTTTTCCTCTTTCAATCTGGATGAGATCACATCAATATAATCCTGGTCCTTGCCTTCACATACGAAGAATTCGACGAACAGCTGACAGTACAAAAGCGCTTTTTGTAGAATTCCAAAATTTTGTACGTTTTTATCCGCCACTTTAGCGAAATATGCGAAACTTCTCGGCGAAAAAGTGCTCTCCCGAAGGGATCAACAACTTTCTCTAATCGTGGACGCCACGGTGAGAACGTGCAGGCATCAATGCGACTTCTACTTGAGAGATGCCTCATTGTAGTGCTTGGACTTCATTCTCGTCGAAGAGGCGGACAGAGACCAATTCCTCCGCTTGGCTCTCTGCTGTTCGGCAGTGATTTGCTGTCGATGTACTCCAATTCAAAAGGTAATCATCTTAAACTCGAGGAAAGGAGGTCCTAAATGAAAGAAATATTGTTCCAGGCAGCAGTCACTCGACTTGTGAAGGCAAACGTCTGTGGA